CTTCCTGGGTCAGGGAGAGGGAACCCTCAGGCAGGAGCTCCCTCTGGCTGGCTCTTCCCACTAGCATGGGCAGTGAGGATTATAGTCCTGCCCTGAGCACCTGGGAGCCAGCCCTGGGCTTGGTTAGACCTATCCCTCACAAGCCCTCCAAGTCTGGGTTGTTGCTGCAGGAGGAGCGTGTGTTGGCAAGGAACTGTCATCAGCTTCTGCAGGGTGATGGAAAGGGCACTGCCTCCGGCCCGCTGGCCCCAGGGTAGTGAGCTAGCTGCCCAGAGTCAGAGCTGGAGCCAAGGAATGGCCCTGCATGGACAGACAACAGCCAGGTTAGGGCACAGCAGAGTGGGAAGGCCGACAGGAAGTCCCGGGCACTCCCCGTGAAAGTCATTTGCTACAGAAAAAACCACATGGAAGTTTTGATGTGTGTGTCCATTGGAAAGTACCCCAAAGATAGGCAAGGGTTTATTAGGGTATCAGCTTATCAACGGGGCACTGTGTTGGCAGGGACGAGCAATACAAGATTGTGTCTTCACTTGTGTTTGGAATGCTGCTGAGTCACCCTCGCAGCTGAGCACCCCAGCTGAGGATCCCATGTCCTTCTCCGTACGCAGGAAGGCAGGAGAACGGTGCCTAGGGGCTGCTCTGAGCTCTCTGTTCACTAGGTTTGGACTCTTGGTTGCTTCTATACACACTTCATCCTGAGAATAATGAAATAGGGGAGATAGGTAGGTAACAGGAGAGAAGAAAATCCACCGGGTGAAGGCACATGGCTAGTGCGCACAAATACTGGGCTCTCCTGTCCCGCTATCCATGGCCTCTAGTCTAAAGTGTCACTTTTACCAGGATGTACTAAAACTGTATCTTGAAATGCCACATTATCTGGAGGGGACACATGTAGGAAAAAAATACACAAACTCTCTTCTCATATTTAAAAAGCTGCAGGAGAGAATGAGTCTCTTTTATCTGAAATGCTTGGGGCTAGAGGTACATTGGATTTAATTTTAAAACATTCTGGAATGTATGCATGGGTATAATGAACTATCTTGGGGACAGGATCCAAGTCCTTTTTAAAGGTAGGGTCTCAGCAGGTAGACTAGGCTGACCCTAACTCCCAGTCCACCTGCTTCTGCTTCCTGAGTGCTGGGGTCAAAAGTGAATGTTGCCAGTGCCTGGCCGTGTAGGATCCAGTCTCTCTCTCCCTTCCTATGTGTGTGTGTGTGTGTGTGTGTGTGTGTGTGTGTGTGTGTGTGTGTGTGTATGGGTGTGTGTGTGTATGCACCACATGTGTGCCTGGCCTCAGAGCCTGGAAGAGGCCGTGAGAATCCCTGGAGCTGGGGTTACAGGCTGTAGTGAATGGCTTGAGGTGGGTGCTGGCAACTAAAGCCAGGTCCTCTGTTCGAGCAGCGCAAAGTTCCCAGAACGAAGGCGCGTCTTTCACTGAACTTTCTACAAAGCTCCCTGACTGCTTAAAATGTCAGTGACTATGGAGAGGCTGAGGCGATGCAGGTCAAATAGTTTCTCTTGGGCTCTTTAGCCCTAGAAATAGCTCTTCCTTGCCCAACTTCACACCTAACCTAACATTCTAGACAAATAGATACAACTTTTGGAATGTATTGACAAAACCCTGGTTTCTGCCCACCACAGGGCTGAGTCATCAGACAGTATCTGAAGCCTACATGAGAGGTTTCCCTTTCGCCATAACCACCGCCTGTATGTTTCCACCAACGTACTTGAAAGGGGCCTTGGTTTAGGACTTTCTCTGTTCTGTTACTATAAAAACTACCATCAGACTGTTACCACCTTGGAACACTGAATTTGGGGTGACCTAAGTCTGGGTTTCTGGGCCGTGGCCACCGATATTTGGTTCTAAAATAAACTCTGTTCCCTTTGAGATGACCATTGTGCTTTAGTGTCACGAGCAACATGTCTTAATTACTGAGCCGTCTCCACAGTCCCAGGAGCACATCTTATTTCAAAAATTCATTTATGCCGTTGGGCATGGTGGCACACACCTTTAATCCCAGCACTAGAGAGGCAGAAATAGGCAGCTTTCTGTGAGTTCCAGGTCAGCCTGGTCTTCATAGTGAGTGTTAGGCTAGCCAAGGCTACATAGTGATACCCTATCTCAAAAACTCATTTATGCTTCATGTGTGCATTATATGAACATACACAACATGACCTGACTGTGACTGTATAGTTTGTAAAAACAGGAGCTTACCAGGCCTAGCGACACATTCCTATAACCTCAGCACTAGCGAGGCAGGAATTCCGCTGAGAGCTTGAGGCCAGCCTGGGCTACACTGTGAGATCTGTCTCAAAACAAAGAGCTAAACAAACAACAACAATAACAAAATAAAGAAACAAAATACTGAGTGTAGCTATGTAGTTGAAGCTAGCCTGGAACTCTCTCTTCTCTTTCTCTGTGTCTGTGTGTGTGCATGGTTTATATGTGTTTGCTCATGAATGCATGCAGGTGCATGTCCACCGGGAGGCTGGAAGATGAGAGTGGGTTTCCTGTTCGTCTCTCTCCCTCTTTAACCCAGACACAGAGCTTCTCACTGAACCTGGAGGTCACAGTTTTGGCTTTGCTGGATGGCTAGCAAGCTCCACCACTCCTGCCTTCTCCTCACCTCCCTGGCACTGGGGATCTGAACTCAGGTCCCTATGGTTGTGAGGTAAATGCTCTTGCCCTCTGAGCGACCTCTCCAGCTCCATGCTCAGCTCTCTTGGTCTTCCAGTCTCTGCCTCCTAAGTTCTGGGTCTGCAGACTCTGTTACTTGCATAGCAGAAATGATCACACTCTGCTTCAAATGGTACTTAATTTTTTTCTTAAAAAAAGCCAGATGTGGTTGGTGAGCACATCTGTGATCCTAGCAGTTGGGAGGCTGAAGCATCTGTAGCCCTGATATCAAAGCCAGCCTGGGCTAAACAGTGAGCTCCAAACCAGCCAGGGTTACACTGTAAGAACCTAAACAGAGGACTGAGAGACAGACCACCAGGTAAAGTACCCGTTATTCAAGTGTGACTGGACTTTGCATCCCTAGGACCCACATAAATGTGAATGCCAGGTAGTCATGGTGACCCGCCTATAATCAGGCCCTGTACACAGGAGGCGGGGATGGAAGTCCCGGAAGTGAGCTGTCAGAGTGCTCTGGGTTAAAACAAGACCCTGCCTCAACACACAAAGTGGGAACCAGTAAAGGAAACCACCCACCGGGGAAGACACATACACAAGAACATGCATACACACATGAACACACACCCCCTCGCCTGGTGCTGACACCCCCAAACCCAAACAAACCAACTTCTACTTACTAAAAAGTGTTCCAAAGTTTCAAATTCTGGATATCAGACTGGGTGTGGCCAGCCAGGAAGCAGCCAGTGTTCAATCCAAGGAACAATCAAGATCCCTGCAGTTGGCACTGAGTGTTAACTGGGGGCAGGCCTTGGCCCAAGTTCATCCTTCTTGCTTACTCTGTCCTTTAAAACACTTTCTTTATGTATTGTGTGTGTGGAGGTATGAAAACATGCGGCCCATGTGTGGAGGTCAATGGCAGTGTGTGGGAGTCAGCTCACTCCTACCATGTGGGTTTTGGGGCTCAAACTCAGGTCGTGAGGCTTGGTAGCAGGTGCTTATAATTCACTGGTCCACACGGCTGGTTCTATTTTGTCTTTGAAGTTAGGAACAGGTCTTGTTCGTAGCTCAGGCTGGCCTTGAATTTGCAGGCTGGTGCAATAAATGTATTTTTAAAGTCTGGCCATCAGTGTTTCCCCAGTGACTTGACACGAGGGATTTGAAGGAGCTGGCAGAAAGAAGACGATGGGGCTGTGAGATGGCTCAGCGGGTGAAGGTGCTTGAGGCTCAAGCTTGGTGACCTGAGATCAATCCTCAGAAGCTACACAATGGCAGATGGTAGGAACTAACTCTGCAAAGCCGTCCCTTGACTTTTAAACGTGTACGGTGGCACGTGTCCCAGCCCCACATCACCCATATGTACAAACTAAAAATGATTTTTTAAAAAAGTTTTTCCATGGAAGCGGAAGAGGGAACAGTGAGGTTTGAACTTTATTTCTGGTTTCCCCAAAAGCAATCTAATAGCAAGCCTAGGTGCTGGAAGCTACTGGAAAGATGCCTGCATGGCAACTGTGTCCAAATGCCCCAGGAGCTGGGCCAATGGAGCAGCGCTGCCATTCAGTGTCTGCAGGGCTATGGCGGCCCAGACACCCCACTCTTCTGGGATGAGGTACTGTCCCTCCCCTAGAGACGAAGACAAACGCTCTCTTCGAAGGTTACATAGGAACCATGCTCTGCCCGCCTCCTACACACCCATCTCACATGCTTTCTGATACACACAGCGGAACACAGTGGCAGCCAACCCTCTGTGCAACCTCTGAGACGGTGGGGCTCAGCTGTGGCTGTTTGACAGCACAGCT